TGGTTTGGTTTGAAAAATAAAATGGTTTGATTTGGTTTGGAAAAATTTCAAATAGCATGAAATGGTTTGAGTTGAAAATATAACACAAACCGCCCAAATCGAACCGTATTCACCCCTAATTCCTTGGATAGGTTTGACAACAATTAGGCTATTTCTAGTCGTGAACCAACCGTTTAGGGTATAACCTAGTTTGTTTTCTAATGATTTTAATGAGTTTTAAGTCCTTGATCCCATTTTTTTCAAAATATATTTTTTTCTTTCTTCTAATCAATCACACAATTTTCAATAAAAATAATATTACACGTACATTTATAATTTTTCTTTATTTTTTAACCATACATTCTCCATCAATTTATTTTTATAAAATGTATTTTATTTAAAAAAAAAAGGGCTCAAACATAAGTTTTAGCAGACTTTATGCCCAATTTTTTTTAAAAAAATTATTTTTTAACCACAACTTTTATGTTACACACAATTTTTGTTAATTTTTTAATTAAGTATTTTATCAAATTTTACTGAAAACCTTATTTATAGTCAAACGAAACACGAACTTGGGGATCATTTGGTTTGTCCTTGAGTTTTGAGTTCATTTTCAATTTTCTGTTTTAAAATTACTAAAAATACGTTTATTTTGTCACTTTCAAAATTATTTTTCAAAACAGAAAACTAAAAAACACATATTGTTCGTAATTTTAAAAAATTGTCTTATGACATTTTATTCGATTAAATTTGATTATTAAGTAAAATATAACAATTATAATATTAATCTATTATTAAGTAATATATATATATTTTAATCGGTAAGTCATACAATATTTTTTTCGATAAAAATAATAATAGATTAAATTGGCAATACATAGGAAATAAAAATAAAAGTTACCGATGTGAAACGATAATATTTTATATGTGTTCATTTAAATATATATTTTAGAATTTTTTATGTAAATATAATTGCTTAGACTATTTTTAATTTTTTTTTCATTTTTTTTCTAGAATTTTTTTATAATTTTATTTTTCAAATTTTTTATTTATTACAATTTTAATTCTGTTGAATTTTAGATTTTTTTCTTTTTCTTTTTAGAATTGATCATTTTTTTATGATTTGAATTTTATTTTTTTTAGTTTTTATTTTTTAGAATTTTATTTAAATAAAATTATATTCAAATGCTCGTTTTCCGTGCTTTGAGTTTTTTTCAGAATTATCCCATATAACACTCAAAACGTCGAAAATACATTTTTTATTTTATGTTGTAAGTTTTCGAAGTGTACCTTTCATTTTCAAAAATACCATAGCAAACAAGTTTTGTATAATGAACAAAACTAAAAAAAAACCAAACAACAAATGTACTTTTCATTTATTGTAGATTGAGAATGAAAAATATAATCGTTATTGGGGGCTCACACAAGAGATAGAAAAATTGAATTTAAATGTTGATGTAATGGATAATGATCATATTTTTTATTTTAATGAGATAATAATATAAATCAAACGAGGGCCAAACACACCTTTAGTTTTTGGTTTTTCAAGTGAACCTGTTCCGTTCAACAATGATAGCACTAAGAACCAAATTGAAGAAACCATCCAATTTAATTAATATTAATAATATGTCAATTTTTTTTAAATAGACTATAAATTGTGAATTCTACGAAATGTTTCAATAATAAATGAGTAAAAAAAATGAGCCCTTTAAAATATGTGAATAAAAATATATTTATGAACAATTTGAAATTTCTTACAACTGCAATGAATGTGATAAAATTAAGTCCATGTTTGGTGTTCATTGTTTTGAAACTATTTTTGCTACATGATCATTTTCAATCACATTTTTACACAAAAAAAATATTCTGCGTGTAAATTTAAAAAAATCTACTTTTTAACATCACATTTTCTTAAAAATACTATTCAAAACTCTTTCTTTATTTTTTTTATTGAAATAACGGGCACCAAACAAGGAATCATTTAATCCTTAATCGATAAAAATTAATGAAATGTATGGTTAAAAAGTTGATAAACTTGTTAGTCCCATGAAATTGAAAATGAGGAAGGAAAACAAGTTTTGGAAAATGGATACCAAACGTGGCTTAGAAATATTTGAATGAATGACTACTAAAAAAACTCAAAATATTGAAGATCAAGTTATTGCAACGATACTAGGTTAGGGACCAATCTACAATTTTCCTTAAAATGAAACAATCATAACAAGACAAATTCTTGACTCGCAAATCTTTTCCCCACTGACAAATTAGCTCACGCCCACTAAAGGGAAATTCTTTGGTGGGGGAAGGTGCGGTCACCCAGGAATATTTAGACTTGCAATTGCAGATGATTGAGGTACATATTCTTCCGAACAACCAAGGACTTATTTCTTATTACGAACATTTTTCTTCTTGGCAGTCGTTTTCTTCTTGGCAGCCGCTTTCTTCTTTGAATTTTTGAACCCAATTCCACTCTCCTGTCAGCAAATTGAACATAAAGTGACAATCTTATTTACGATGCTAGAATAGATGATTCTCAATGTCATAAGCCCACAATAATTCATCAGATGGCGAATTCACCATAGAAAAGGTTGCTGGAAAAGATCTATTCTAGCACAAGCCACAATAATGTTCATTCTCTGACAGTTTTAGAAACTAAGCTGGAAACATATAGGGAAAAAGAAAAATGAAAATAGCCTAATGAAAATGCCTCAAACAAATCAAGAATAGGACAAAGCATAAGTAACCAAGCACATATGAAAAGACGCCATAAGAAAGTACCTTTCTATACTGGCGGTAAGCAATTTGACCCCTCAACTCTTGGCCACTTTTGTTCACATAAACCTGATAAAGATTTAACCATTTGATTAGTACTACAGTTGGTAACAGAGAGAGATATAGAGAGAGAACAGTCCACTAGAGATTGGTAAATAAAGATGAACAAAAAACCACGAGTGGATTTTTGTTTTTGGGTGTAAATGAATATCTTAGCCTCCATTTGGAAAGAATTTCTAAACCATATAATTATAAATAGATAGAAATGTAAGGTGCATAAGTGGATATTAATTGTGGGTACATTGGAATGTGTAGATAAAAATGAAGTTTGACCATTTATAAATGATTTATAAACCATTTATAAATTAGCCAAACAGAGGCTTAGCTGTTTTCTACTTGAGCTCATTTTTGGCAGAGAGAAATACAGTTTCCCTTTTTTTATACATGCATGTAGTTGGCACTCTTGTTTGTTTCAACACTTATAAATAGACCTATACTTGTCCTCTCAAAAAGAAAAGAATATAATACCAGTAAAGGGCACGTCTGATTCCAATTCAAACCGTATTTTTTTCTATAAATCTTACAGAAACTAGTCTGGTTTAGTAACACAATAACACATCCTCCGTGACAGATAAATTTTTCCATAGCTGCAGTTAGAGCTACATTAGTGAAACACACTTGCAGCAACGGATTATTTCTGAAGTATCAAGTATTGAAAAGGGAAAAAAGAACATAGATTACTGAGACGTGAACTATACTCACATATATTGACATGTACAATATGAAATTCAACTTACTCTTTGCCCGTCTGAGCCCGTGTACCAGCCGGCAGTCGTACCAACAGCATGTACCCTTCTTTTACCAGCATCTTTTGGATTTCCAGCACAACTTTTAGGATTCACCCAGTTCTCAGATTCTCGTGAGATCTCGCCTACACTTGACTTTTTTACATTTTTTTGGGTCCTAGTGGAGCTTGTCCCAACATTGTGGCTCTTAGTTGTTTGTTTCGAGCTTTCTCCATGACTAAATTGGCCCCTACACGATACAAAATGCACATATTTAAATGAGAACTCGAAAGAAACTACAACTTACAAAGCGTTATATTAAATCATTACATGTAATCAATAACTGATGCATTCTGCTGCTTGTAACCATGGGAGTTCCCTGATCCTAAAGGAAAGAAATGGGGCAGACGATCCTGAACTAGTTTCCGGATCCTAGGATCCGCTTGGAAAAAATAGCGGTGAGCAGGAGGAAGAGAAGTCATATTCCCTTGTTGCTCGTTGTCTTTGTCAAAAATTTGAGGTGAGTCCTTCAAGTTATTTTGTGTTTTGCTCTTATCTTTCACAGATCCAAAATATTCTTTACAAACCTCATCAAAAGTGGGAGTAGGAATGTGAAAACTCTTCTCTGAGCAGAAATCTTTCCAGAAGTCTTCAGTTTCAGATGCTTTTGTTGTCCTCTGCTCATTTGAAGCTGCACGTTGCTTGTGGTTTGATTGGCTGTTGTTCAAAGGTGAATTTGTTACTAAATGAAGAAAAGAGTGTAGTTCAATGGCGGAAGGATCATCAGAATCAGAATCGATCAATTGGAACCTTCTAAGAGGACTGACGGTTAATTTGGGAAAGATCAATTTGTTAGCTCCTGTTTCCACCTTTACAGAAGCCGAAGCACTTGAACCCTCTTTCTTTTTTGATTTCTGTTCACTTGAAAAGTGCGATTTCAAAATCCCAGGCCGACGAAATAGGAACTTTGAGCTGCTACACACTGAATTTTTCCGAAGATCACCTACAATTCCAAAATTGAAAAGAACAAAACTATTTAGTGACATTCAGTAATTAATTTGATCGAATGTTCCCAATCCAATTTATTCGGACTTTTCATTGGTTCTTGGTACAATGATAAATTATTGGTACATGTAAAGTTTAGAGGTAACTAGTTACGGACGAGCAAATGCAAAATCATTGACCATCAACAATTTTTGAATACAGTGCGGTATAGTATCAAAATATATAAACACAGCACTTCTGGTACATAACCAAGAAATGAAAATATAAAAGGCCTCAAGTTGCCATGAGGATCATATTTGTGCTTAGCATGTTTTGAGATTCTCTCAAACATTAAATTGTTTTTTGCTAGACACTCACAAGGACAAATTTTGCACTAATCATGTCAAATGGCAGTATCACCACATATCAAAGTGCTAACAGTACATATGGTTCGCCAAAGCAATAGCATTTCAAGTTCTCCTTTAAGAATAGCAATTGCTAACTGCAATGAACTCTTACTTGTCACTAAGTTTTGATGCGGTTTCCTGGAATATAAAAGCATAAAGCACACGCCTTGGGTACAAAAAGATTGCACTTGAAGAGGCAAGAGCTACTTGAGTGATTGGATATAGAACTAAAGAGGCTCCATTCATTAGAGTTAAGTGATCTCAATATAACACGAAGGAGAGGTAAACTAAAACTAGCATTAACTCACATAGCCCACTTCAAATTTCATAGTTCCCAACCAAAAAATAAAAAAAATCCTTTTAAAAAGATCCTAATTGTTGAATTAAACAACCCACAATGTCATTTAAAACAAATAAATAAATTGTGCAGAATTATATCATTTTCAACTTTTCCATATATTTAACAAAAAACAAAAGCTTAAACAAAGACAAAAAATGAATATTTGATACCAGAGTGCCTATCCTCCTCGGAAGAGAAATCCTCAATCTCATCATCCACGTTGCACCGGGTATTTTCCTTGGGCTTTATCTTTTCCTCCTCAACCTTAGGCCCGTGCCGGAGCCTTTTGTGGGCCCGAGGCGGGTCCGGGGCAGGAACCTTCACCAGTGATTCAAAATCATCGTCATCTTCTTCGATTGGCGGGAGATTGGCAGTGGTGGAAGGAAATGTAGCTCGTTGGGGTGATCGGTCGGGTCCAGGACCCGAATCGAGGTCAAAATCAAGCCCTAGGGAGAACGATGGAGGCTCAAAATCAAAATCCGCCATGTGGGAAAAAAAAAAATCAATGGGCTTGGGATGCTTGTTTTGGAGGTGAAATCGGAGGGAATAGTGAGAATTTCCGATTTTTGCATTTGAATTTTACTGATTTGCGCCAAGAACTTAGAATGCGCGCTTAACCCTGGGCTCCAGAAGTGAACAAGGATTTTATTATGGAAAAAATTTATTTCTCCTGCCTTATCTTTACCCGATTTCAAAAATAACAAAACAATTTTTACATTTCAAAAATCAAATATTTTAGCGTGTGTCTGGAGGCAATTTCTATCACAATTCCGACCGTTAGATAGCATTTTTTGGACCGTTAATCATTTTTTTATTCAACCCATTCTGACAACCACTGTGCACCAAGTCAGGCAAAAATACAGCAGGATGCCCAATTTGCCCTCCTCATTTCTCGCCTCACCTACCCACTTCTTCCTTCTCCCCCTGGCCAAGTCGACTTCCCCTTCCGGCCATGTTTCCTCTTTCAATCCTTCCTGCCCAAAGTTTTCGATAAGGCACAACCGAAGGCTTCTTCTCCCTCCCAGATCTAATTCACCAATTTATGCCACCCCTTTCGTCAAGAAAATTTTATCTCCGACCTCTGCTCCCAGATTCGGTCTTCTCTCCGAATATGCAGAATAAGTGGTCCACGAACGTTAAAATGGCATCCGGACGACACAGAGAAGTGTTCTTGTAGAGTCAAATCCGCACACAAAATGGATCCACAATTTTCTGGGGTAAGGGCAGATTTTATTTTTTTGCAAACTGATTATTTCATACTGGCTGATTACTGAACCACCGTGAGTTCCCAATTTTTTTATGACAAAGTGATGTTTTGTGGCTTCTGATCTCAGATGGGTTACAATGGTTCGTCGTCCACCTCCAACCCTCCTCCAAGCCAAAGCCAAGCCCCTGCCCGGAAAAATGCCATTTGGACCAAACAAGATAACCACATTTTCGTTGCCGCTTGCGAGACGGTGATAGCCGACGATCACCGTAACGGAAAGTGCTTCACGAAGCACGACTGGGACCAACTGATCCACTTTTTCAACACTAACTCTGGGGCACGTCTAGACCAAGCAACAATTGAAGAATCATTGGGTTTCTCTCCATCAAAAGCATAAAAGGCTCACGGAACTGTTGAATTGCACTGGTGTCGAGTATAACTCCGCAACAGGAATAATTGCTGCCTCCAACGACTGGTGGGAGAGAAAGATGAAGGTAACTGGAATTTTTTCGTGGACCTACTTTCCTGATTGGTTTTTCGCATTTCTTGCAATGAGTGGAGGGCATCTATTATTATGTTGAGTCCTGAAATAGGCGTTTTACAGATAGGGCACAATGTGTTTTGAGTGCATTTCCATTGAAATCAAGACATTTGCAAGTATAAGGGATATTATTCACCATGTCTTGAGTTCTCAGAAAACTGAAAATTCACTTATTATTGTTTGGCCACGTGCATTTCACCATTTATATTCCCTGCTTCATGTTGATTCATCTTTCCACAATCATATGGCATTGAAGAATGTACATTATATTTGGATGACAATGTAAACGTCTGTATGTGCATTGAAATGAATACATCTGTCTGATGCTTCACTAGATGACTTCCAAACCTCTTGCATCTGATAGGAATGGTTTGGAACAATGCTTACTTGTCCACTGCCATACATTCCCCTTTATTTAACCTTTCTAAACACATAGTTTGATTAATTAACAGGAAGAAGTGTTTTCATCAGTCTATGCCCTGGCCTTCAAGTACTTATGTTAGAATTTGGTAATATTGCTAATTGCATACTGGATATTCAAAACTCTAAAAATAGATAACAGACTTCACTAGATTCGGATAATCCATTTCCATAATTGACCCTCTTCACCAATTCAAGTTGAAAAGAACTATTTTTCTTGTTTTTATTCTCTACCATTACAATTTTATCCAACCACACCATGTAATGCTATGTTAATCGTACTAACTATTTACCACTACATATATGCTCATAATATGGGAGAAAATAATATTTTTTGCGCAATGGTGGGTTTCTTGGGTTTTCTTAATCGAATGGCCTGGAAGTTGTGGTGTACGCGTCATACCATTTTTTTCCTCTTTTGCATTTTGAACAGGAGAACAAGGAGTACAGAGAATTCAGAGACAAAGACTGTAGAGAGGTATACAGCTACAACTTGTTGTTCGGGGACGCATTCGACAGTGACAAGTATGCGGTCACACCGTCCCAGATGTGCCGTACAAGATTCGCGATGTTTGAGGATAGTGGTTACGAAGACCTGCGCGATGCTCATCCGGAAGGCGAGGAGAGGAGCGGATCTAGTGATGAGGCCGACGAAGATGGTCGTGCAGGAACCAGCATGGACGTCTCACGGGCGCGAAGTGGAGACAAGCGGCGATCTGGAAGCAAAAACACAATGGAGAAAAGAGCAAAAAAAGGAGCTAGAGATGTGTCGTACTCTGTTGACCGTGCCGCGTCTGCCAGTCGTGAAGTAGCTGAAAAAATCGAGAATTTGGTTGGTCCTGCTGTGACTCCTGTGAAGACAATTTTGGATGAGCTTTTAGCGATGGGCAGACTGCATAAGAAAACTGAGATGTACTACTGGACTTGCAAGTTCCTGAGCAGAAGGGCTAATAGAGAGACTGTTGATGCGCATGACGACGCCGATGAAAAAATGGACTGGGTTGAGTGGTGTTGGAAAGATGATATGAAGAGACATCGGAACGACAACTGTTAGGTGCAAAACACAGTATGGCCCGTGTATTTGAACAGTCTCCGAAATGGACGTGTTGTACTATATTTATGTTCCATATCTTGTTCCAGGATTTTCCATGTTTGTTCTTGCTTTATTTTCCATAACGTGTAGGGAGGCTGATTTGACATTTTGTACTTTTTTCCCCTTGTGAAATATATGTTCTGCAACATATCTGTCCAAATAGATTGCATGGCCAAAATTTCAAAAAATCGATTGGATGAATGCTGACTAACATTTGTAGGATAGTGGATTATTTCAAAGAATCTTTCTAAAGTCATTATGGCCTACAAGACTCCGTACTATCCCTACTATCAATTCTTTGGTTTTTAGGCATACTGGGTCCAGTTTGTCATGAATTTATGTTGCCATAACGTAAGTAGCACATTCTATATAACGAAACATTCAGCCAATATCTTAAAAGAAGTAAGTTAAAAAATAGTTGGGAGCAGGTTTCCTCTTCATGCTCCTTCGTAGTGAAAAAGCTTTGAGCATTATCATCTAGTTACGAAGGGGAATGGCACGGCAAACTCTTCATTGTGGCCTCATGCCCTGTTCCGATGATGAAGGCAAAATTGACGAAGATGAATTTGTGCAACAAATGCAAGATGATATCGTCGAATGGTTTCGATATTGTCGACAAGGAGAAATAGACGTAGCTACATACTATCG